TTGAATTTCAACAGGTGCTGCTTACTTGTTATGCAATGCTCACACAAAGTAAGTGATGCATTTGTTAAGCCTGGAAGTAGGTTTTGCTCCACAAGGACTTTCATTCCTTGTTCTGACATGTGTCCAAGTTTTGATGCCATATCATTGCAGAATTTGAACTACATGAGGCAACAGAGGCTTCTGCTTCTAGCAAAGTCTCTCCCTTCAGCATGTACAAGTTTGCAGCTATCTTTTCGCCTTTCAGCACCACAAGCGCTCAACGAAACACCTTCATGATTCCTTTTCGTGTTTCAATCTTGCTTGCATTATTATCCAACAATCCGTAGGATAATAAATTTTTCTTCAGGCCTTTCACGTGCCGCACATCTCGAACAACTTTAATTGTTCCATCATACATCTTTAATTTGATGGTTCCCACGCCAATGATCTCTAAGGCATGATCATTGCAACTATACATAGATCCTCCTGAGACAGGTTCATACTGATGGAACCATTCTCTTCTTGAGGTCATGTGATATGTTGCTCCTGAAACAATGAGCCATATATCTGCAAATCTTTTTCTGCCTTTCACGGTGGTTGACGCTTCACAGCATAGAGCATCTCCATCATCTGAAGTGTTTGCAGTATTTCCTTGTGGATTGGAGTTTTTATTTAGACTCCAACAATCCTTTTTCAAGTGACCATTCTTTCCACAGTTGTAGCACTTTAAATTCTTCTTGCTTCTCGACTTTGATCTACCATGTCTGTGACTGCTGCTTTGGCCACGTTCTGTTGACCTCCCTCTCATCGTTGCTAACGCTTCTGCTTGTTGCAGATTTACTTATCTATCTTTCTTGTTCTTGCGCCGATTTTCTTCTTGTAGAACAACAGCTGCAACGTCATCGAAGACTAGACTGGTGACATTATTGTTTGTCAAGTTCATGATGAGTTGATCATACGAATCCGGTAGACTTTGAAGTATAAGTTCAGCACGTTTCTGTTCTCCTATTGTACATCTTAAGGATGTAAGCTGAGAAAATAACGTGTTCAGTGTGTTTAAGTGCTCCGTCACTGAAGTAGATTCTGACATCCGGATAGTATACAATTTCCTCGTAAGGAAAATTTTATTGTGCAACGATGTAGCCTCATACAATTTGGTGAGATGATCTCATATCTCCTTAGCTGTCTTCTTCTCCTCGATGCTTGACAATACTTCATCTGCTAATGCTAGATGAAAGTTTGCCATAGCATTCCCGTCTATTTCGATCCATTTGTTGTCGTCTGTGAAATCTATCGGCCTTTCACTGATAGCTGCTAGACAACCGTCTTTCCTCAGGATGGCCTTCATCTTCAATTTCCACAATGAGAAATTTCTCCCATTGAATTTTTCAATATCAAATTTTGTTGCCATAGCTTCTTTTACGGATAGCTCCCACTATTTCACTATCGTGAATAGTTCTCTAGAACCTTCAAAGAATGAGTAATAACTTCTTACTTTCTTATGTTGGAGGATCCACCTTTTGGTGGCAACCACAAAGATAATAAGTAGATATTACACACTCAAATCTGGCTCGGATACCAATTGTTGCGGAAGACGGCTATCGGATAAAGCAAAATCGCAACTGATAATTTGAGAAAATAAAAATGAAGATAAAAGAGACACAAAATTTACGTGGAAAACCCCTAAATAATATAGGGTAAAAACCACGGACAACAATAGAAGAATTTCACTATGAGAAAATAGGAATTACAACTTCTCTCTTGATCTACCAAGGAGAAAACAATGATAATTCTCTCTTGATAAAAAGGAGAAAACAACTCTTAAGAAACTCTCTAAATTCTCTCTAGTATTGGAAGAAAGCTAGAATGCTTTGTGATGATTTTAAAGCTAAATGAGCTAGGGTATTTATAGTTGAAGCTTAAGGACTAGTTTGTAAATATCCTAAATTATAATAACTAAAATTGAGATTTTACCATTTCAAAAGTCATCAAAATCATGCTGCCAATTGCTCCAATTTTCCAACCAAATTTCGGTGGAATTATTTTGTTTGTTTTTTTCAAACTTTCCACATAAAGTTTGGTGGCAACAGCTAATTTGGACTTTCCAAATTTGTATTTTAACATGACCTTGAGAACCGACGTGGGTTCTCAGCTGGACCACTAAAGTTGGCCTTCCCAAAAGACGAAGAAAACGAAAGACTGAAGTAGAATTTGATGAAGAAGATCTTTATTTTTTTGGTAACTTGAAGAAGAAGATTGGATATATCATCTGAATGAGATGATAAAAATGTTCTCAGAATTATAATTATAATTGTTATGTAAAAACAAGTTATTAAAATTATAATTATAAATATTATTGTTCTTAATATAGCGAAACATGATATGGTTAATGATATCTCCCATTTCTAGCTTTTTTTCTTCAGTTTAAAATATTTATTCTTTTCATGTGTTTAGGTTGCTGTCTTTTTTTTCAGAAACGAAGTTACATTAATGGGGAATGGGCAACTTTCATTTTTTTAATGAAGAAAAAGAGAAGGAAAAAAATGGTGAAATATAATAAAGTGCCTGTCGGTGGAGTTATTGTGATTTTCTCACGAAAAATTGACAGTCGAATTACAATGGTCACACATCAAGGTGAGACTCTTACGTGTAGTTAGAGCCTTAAAGACAAATCAAATTCAAATAATAAAAGAATATTTTTTTAAAATTTGAGATTAATATAAGATAATATTTATTTAAATTATTTTAACTATTTGATGATACTATTAAGATCGTTTTATTTGTATAAATTTATTTTGAAATTTAATATTAAAATTTGTGCTTTGTGAAATATTATTATTTAAATTAGTATAATGTAAATTTCAGAATAATTAAATTGGATTTCAAAATAAATAAATTTAATTGTTTTAGTAAAATTCGAATAATTTAAGTATCCATACTCACAAAACATTAAATCATAAATTTATATCCTTCACTTACCTATTAATCAGTAAGTTAAATAAACATTCTTATTGGTTTAATCAGTTAATCGCAATGCATTCCTATTATAGGTTTGTTTAATTTTTAGACTGGCACAAATTTTGATGAGCGAAAAAGAAAATATCATATACTGATAGATAAATAAACTTTGGTGAATAAAGGACCAAAAACGATTATAAAGTTATTTGTTTGAAACAACATAACGTGGATTGGGGATGGGTTGTGGGACACAATAATATACTTCGATATTAGTATTATATTTTTTTATAAATTGTGTCAATAATTTTTTAATTATAAGATATATTTTCCTTTTCAAAAAAATTATAAGATATATATATTTAGAATCTTTTAATTATAAAAAATGTTTAATTTAAAAAGTAATAAATTGATATGTTATCATTACAAATATAAGGATAGATGACATGTAAATTACTGTTGTTTTTAATAATTATTATTAATTTTTTATTGTTTAATTTTTTGAACAAGTGAATTTATCATCATTAAAATAAGGATAAACTACATAATATTTGTGTAAGTTTTGGTTTTCACCACTAATATTTTAAAAGTCATAAATCAGCCACTAACATTATTTTTTGTTATAAATTGGTCACTCGAATTACTTATATGAACTTTTGGCTGCCACATTAGAAGACCACTTGAATCCTTTTGACCAGTGCTTGAACTAATATGTAATTAATAAATAAATAAACAAATAATTAATAAATGGGGGAATCAAGGTTTCACCTACCATTCTTAATAATTCTTCTTCTTCCATAAACTCATTGTTTCTTCTTCCATAAAACCCATTTTTTTCTTATACATAAACTTGTTCCTTATTCTTCCATAAACACCTTCTTCTTCTTCCATAAACACATTTTTTCTTCTTTCATAAACCCATTTATTTTTCTTCCATAAACATATTTCTTCTTCTTCCATAAATCAATTTATTCTTCTTCCATTAGTCTGAGAGAAAAAGTAGAGAAAAAACGAGTAAAGAAAAACCATCGTGCTTACATGAATGTTACAATAAAGGGGAGACAACACTATACTTTAAGGTAAGATTCTTTTGGGTTTGATAGAAAAAAAAACCTTAGCTAGGAATCCAAAGTTGCAAAGAATAACATCAATGGAGTCTTCCATCTTCACATGATTTCTCTTCTCTTACAATTTTCAATTTTTTTAAAGAATAGAGATAGGAATGAAAACCCTAAATTAAGTTTAGGGATTGGTTTTTTAAAGAAGAATAAGTGATCGTTGAAGGCTTTTGGGTCTCCAACGTAGCAGTCAACCCAATAAACCTAGTCCATGTACGCAGTTAATACGTCAGCTGTATTTTTCCTCACTCCTGTTAACGGTTGTTAACGTCAAGTGATCAATTTGTGACAAACGATAATGTTAATGACCGATATGTGACTTTTGAAACATCAGTGGTGAAAACAAAAATTTAATAAATATTAGTGATCATTTGCGTAATTTACCCTTAAAATAATTATAGACTGTCTTATTATCTATAGACTGTCACATCATCGTTCAACCAAAAGTCACCGCAACAATTTTTCCTTCACAAACGTCTCTACCTACGTGTTCTTATGTCATTCGCGAATTTGATCTTGTAATCCAACCCTTTTGAGTCTACCCTACACGAGGGACCACCAAAGTTTCTGTGTCTCTATCATCAGACATAACACATTGAAGGATCATAAAAACATTCAGACACGATAAGTTAGTATCTATCACTGTGGGTGGGATCCGTGAGGGTTAGATTTAGACGTGTCAAATGGATAGGGTGATGATGCATTGAGATGTGAATTGGTAAACTAAAACATCGAAAAGTATGATCGCAAAGCGAATTATTATATAATAAAACCATAAGGATTATTCAGAAGGTCCAAAGCCATAACATCTGCAGTTAACAGGCACAGCAAACGAAAAATAAACAAACAACAACTTCAAAGATAAAGATACTGAGGAAATAATTCTTCAAACATGGAGATTAAAAAACATCAGCAGCATATGATGTTTTTTCATATTAAGGATCCAACTCAAATAGCCAAAGCTGTCTTCTTGCATACGGGACACAGGTTCTTATGCCCAAACCATTGCTTAATGCAGTTGAAGTGAAAATCATGTCCACAGTCCAGCTTACCAAGCTCTTCTCCATCGGCATAATCCTCCTGTAAACAGTTCCAAAATGTTAGGAATGCTGAATAACATCGAGTTCTCAGAATCAGACGAAATGAAATGATCTAATATAACCTGACATATGCAGCATTGTTCGGTTTCAGCAGTAGGTGCAGTAGGTGCAATTGTGATGGGCTGAAATTTGCGTCGCCTCAGATTGGCCTGAATAGTTGCCTGGCTTAGCCCAGTGCTAACATTCCCCATTCGATTTTCCAGGTCCAACAGTTCCTAAACCCAACAAATGATATTCATGTTTTAACAAAATCTGAACTCAATGACATTAAATTATAAAGAATTGAAATGTTACCTCATAAGACATGTTATCAATATCAAGGCGCATGTCATCATGAGTAGTTTCTAATGCATACATGGTCTGCAAAAATGAACGACCCATTTCCGTTGCATCCTGCCCAATAATACCCAGTTGGTGCAAAAGTAAAAGTTAAAACCTTGAATTATGACAGCAATTTGTATTACTATGGAATAAGCTTAAACCTTACCTCGGTTCGTAAGCCTCCAGATCTACGAACAAGTCGCAGGTAACTGCGCATCTGTTATGGCAAAGATTTGTTTAGTTCTTAAAACAGATTAAATGGAAGCAATACTTTTGAAGAAAATAGTGTATTGAGCAAACCTGAGATATCAGTCTTCTTCTCCTTTGCGCAGTCATTTGAGATGACATTGTACGTGAGAGTCGAATATTATTACCAGCTTGTCTCTCAGCAGCAATTGCTCCAGACCTTTGAGGAACCTGAGTTGGCCTGTAATTATTACTTCTCAAAGCGGCTTCCAAGTCTCGAATAGTATGTGAAGCATCAGTATATGGGATGGTTATGCGCCATCCTCCATGCCTCAGAGCGGTCGAGCATATATTCCAGTCTTTGTATAGTTTGTTCAGCCATACTTGGTTGATGGTACCCCACGGACGACAATGGTGAATTATACATACCCGAACCGGATTGAATTCTCGAAGAGGCGGCAGCATTTCCAACAAAGCTTGAGTTCCCATTGACCAAGTTCATGTTTGGTTGCACATTTCCCGGTTGAATCGTCACAGCTGAACCAAAAGATTGATGACCATGCGATGGCATGGCTGGCACATTCCAGTTTTGGGAAGACAGCGGAGTTTGCATCGGATTATGTGCTCCAACAATATTCTGCTGCTGCGACTGATTAGGGATTCCTACAGTAAGCTGCTGCAACTGATTAGAGACTCCTACAGTAGGCTGCTGTTGGTGGTGCAGCATGGAAGGATTTGCTGGAACCGACCTTATTTGTGAGTTTTGCGTTGATAAGGAACCAAATGGGGAAACCACTGGTCGTTGACGATGAGGACCAGTAGCTTGTGCATTAAAATTGCTGGAGTTCCATGCCGACGTGTTTACAGGCCCAGGGTTTTGTTGGCTTAGAAATGTTCTCAGCCGAGTATTGCTCTGATAGCTATCCATTTGTCCGATATGTATCGGAGAAGTAGCCACAGGTAACACAGGTCGAGCTAAATGACTGCCATTGTTGGAGGAACTAGCTGCAGTTGGGATGTTGAGGACAGCATTTTGGGGCTGTGGCACTTTAGACGCCCTTCTTTTGCATAAAAGCCTCGACTGACCATTAGTTAGAAGAAGACCCTCTCGATTGATAGTTTCTTCTACAACATACCCAGCACTTCCTGAATGAATCATAATTGGGCTCAAGGAATCAAAAGAGGCTAGAATTTGTTGATTACCTGATGTTCTTCCAGTTCTAGGAAGGTCTACTGTTAACTGTAGTGGCTCATTCAGGTCCAGCTGGAGCCGACCATAACCAATCCCTTGACCTTGACCCGATAAAATTGTTTGAGCAGTGGTGCCATGGTTGCCACTGATATGGCCATCATTAGGGTCCATCCCGTTGTTCTGTAGGAGAAGCCTTAAGGTCGGGTCTTCACTAGCGTTACTGCCATGACCTTGACCTTGCATTCTGAATTTCTGACCAACAAATATAAGTTCTGAAAACAAAAGAAACGAAATTAACTTCAAAAAATAATTAGAAAATATATTTGTGAATTTGTAAATATTACGAAACTTTATCACTCAACTTAATCTATTTGCACTGAAACATATACTCTATTGATTTGCTTGTTTTATGTTTCTTCATCCAAATTAATAATTTTTTTTATTTTCCTTAAAAAAATTAACAAATAAAGATATAAATTCGACTTAAAAAATAGATCTGACTTAATTTGACTCAAAATCTAATCGAAATCATTACAATTATCTGTCGTCCAAAAAAATCTTGAACAATAAAAATATTATTTTTTCAATATAAAAAATCATACATTTTACATAAAACAATGTAAAATGAAATTTTAAATAAATCTAAAAGATATAAAATATAAAATAAACCAACTACGAGAGAGGGGGAGGAAACCGTGTCTACTAAAAAACATCACCTTTTGTGATTATTTCAAGAAATTTTTACATCTCAGCTCCCTATGATTTCACATCAATCTTGAAGTTGAAAAAGAAAAAAAAATTGGGATTTTTTGTGTATGTCACATTAGTCCCAAGCAACACAAAAACTAATTAAAAATATTTGAGAGTGGGAAGAAGAATCAAAGGATGAAAATAAGAAAAATCCATGAGATTAAAGCAAATAATTTTGAGTAAAAGAAACTAAATCTGAAGAAATATATATAAAACCAAGCTTCACAATGAGTCTTGTAACAGTTTGAAAACAATCAAACTAAGAAGAAAACCACAAGCCTCCATGAAAATCAAATCTGAACAAATAACTCAAAAGAAAGAAAGAAGGAAGGAAGAGAATAAACCCTCTAAGTTGAACACAAACGAAGAGCAAAGGAGAGAGTGTACACCAAAAGTAATGAGAAGAGGCAGTGAAGTCTATAAGAAAAGGAAACGTATTTATAGGCAGAGAGAGACTTGGTTTTCAGTGAAGCTTATCGGTGTGAGCTTCAGATTGGGTGCAGCTTGACAAATTACACAAAGGATGATTTTATTACACTGCGTTGTTATTTTGGAGATAATAAGCGAATCTGAATTAATTACCAATGAAAGAGATGACTACTATGGTAGTAAGCAGGTTTTATGGTTATTTGTTGACCAATTGTATTCTCTGTATTTTTATGTATTTGTTGATATGTATCTAAAATGATTTTCAAACATGTATCATATTATGTTCAAGTCAAATCATTCTAATATTATTCGATTTATACATAATTTAAGATTATCTTTGAAATCTAACAAAAAAAAAAGAATCAAAATCCAATTCGTGTTATGTTATTTCACTGTTTAATCTTTCGTACATTAACACTTTTGTCTTATGTAAATCATGTGTGAATCTTTGTAGATTAATTTTAGTATAGGCTAATATTTATGTTCAATTGTTCTTTGTAATAATAGTTAATTTTGATTAATAATCATTTGATTGTTGTATTGTTCTAAATTACAATAATAATTGTAAGATTTTTGATTAATGTTATCATCAAATTATTTATCATTACATCAATCACTTGATAATATTCAACTGTCCCATATATGTCACATGAAATTTTTGTGTGTTAAAAGGGATTGAGCCCAAGAAAGAGAATGTTAATAGAATTTCATCAATTTTGTTATCCCAAGACCTTTTCTTTCAATTATACTGATTTAAAATATTATAGTATTTGACAATTGTTTTCTTAAAATATTTTTATCTAATCAAATATTATTGAAAATAATGATAAGATATATTATAATCTTAAACAAAGAGTTCTTGTTTAAACCTTCGTGATAATATTGTTAAGAAAGATAATCACAATCTTAAAATATTAGCATTCAAGAATCATAAAACAAACACGAAAGATATCTTGATAGAAATAAAAAACGTTACACCTAACATTTCAACAGTTTTTTTTTGAGAAAAAAATTCAAGTGTCTTCTTTGGTAAAATTTCAATGGTTTTTTCCATAAAAACAAAAAAACACGTGTAATTATCAATAGTCATAAATATATCTAAAAATTATCAATTTCGTTTCATATTGAGCCTTATGCATTACGGAAAAAACTACACAAAAGGTAAGGTAACTACAGCAAAACAGAGTTTTAGCGGTGTTTTTTAATTTCTATTGTGGCATTTTTAAGCGCTGCTAAAAGTACTTGCGGCGAAAGGAAAAACGCCGCAGGAAGGGCCGCTAAAACCAGCGTCGTTAAAGTTAGCAGCGTTTCTGATCCAATATGATTATGTGAGAAAGAAAAATAATGAATGAAGTGGGGGAGGAATAAGTTAATTCACACATATATAATGTAACGCAAGCATGGTCTGATCTTTCTAGACCTCCTAATTGTAATTTGGTGGACCTTCGATTGTAACACCTCAAATTCAATCAAAAATATCCAGTGGACTTAAAGATGTCACATTCAAATCACAAGAGTGATCCTACAAAATCTGTATACTTTAGGACTCAAAATTACTTAAATTAAAAGAAAATAAAAAAATAATAATCGATAAATGACAAAATATTGAGTTTCAATGACATTTACAAATGAGAAGCTACTTCAATAATATGTTGATATTGAAAATGTTAGATATTGATTTAAATTATAATTAGAAATTAAGTTTGATTTTGTTGTAATTCTATTGGTTGAATCTTACTTGATGATTAAGTTTATTCAATTAAGAATTTTATGGAAAATGGATTCTTGATGACCAAGTATTTGGTTATACAGATAGAGTGTATGTCTTAGTATTTAGAATTATTATAAGTGGAAATTATTTTTTAGATATGTAATCATTTTGTAGTCTCTGTAACTTTTTTAGAGTATTTTGGGATACATTGGGGTTTGATATATATACTGAATTTTTAGGATACATGAAATACCATGTATTTTTACTCTTTGTGGTCTCTACATTTATAATATATTATTATTTTTCTTATCTATAAGGATAGATAATGTCGAACCATGTTAAAGCTCACCTATTGTGTATATTTTATTTTATATTGATTTCGTTATGTTTATTTTTTTCTCTTATAAATTCATAACAATTGGTATTAGAGTTATAGTTCGAGTTGTGAAATTTCGAAAGAATTTATTGCTGCGAATTTTGTTAACAATCTTAGATACATACAAACACAATTTTACTACGAGTTTTCATAACAGAGGCGGAATTATCGATATATCAAGTGGTACATCAACAAATATTATATACAAATTGAAGTTGTTGAAGATTTGACGATGAAACTTCAACGATTTTTTTGGCTTACATAAGAATCAAAGTTTTTGAAGATTAAAGACCAATTTTCTAATGGAATTTATGTAAATAAAGAGATTGCTAGATATTGACTTAAATTCTAATTAAAATTTAAGTTGGATTTAGTAATAATTCTACTAGTTGAAGATTACTTGGTGATTAGATTTATTCAACTAAAAAATCTCATATATTACCTATTTCTTATTCTACATTGATTTCGCTGTGAATATTTTTTCGCTTACAAAACTCTAACAAACAAAATAGAGTTTACATACCATATCACAAATATAAACCAGGATGCTATAAATAGTGCATGCCCAACTATAGTGATATAATATTGTACTCATATACAGATGACACTGGAACTCGTAAACGATGTTAGTGCCTTGACTCAAACTCAATACGGTCTAACTACCTGTATAATATGAAATAATTGAATGTTGAACTTACAAAATTCAATTGAACACAACTACATAACAGTACAACATAAAATAGATAATGCATGTTGATTAAGTAAGAAAAATAAGGCATGTGATTTCTAACACATATAACATAATTCAATTTAGACATAGCTAAATGGATCTTAGACTGATTTGGAGTAATACCTAAACATATGCAACTTTATCATTATAACATCATTAATCACACATATAATGTGTCATTTCACAAATGATTCATGTGAGCAAAGCCTGTAGAAGTTTTAAGGAGACCCCATCATCTCCAGAATCATCTTCCATCAGGATCGTTATGTAGAGTCTATACTCCTTAGTATTTGACGTGATCTTTGACAAAGTTAAATCTAATAATTTACAATTATATTTTTAGATCGTCAGCCTACTAACATGCATGGTGATCATAGCTAGGCCTGATACCAATCATAAAATAATCAACATAAGAGTCCATCGGACAAACTTGAATAGAGGGTCTCTTCACTTTCTTCACTCTCACCTCTTCCTCATGCTTTCGTCTCTCTCACAAAGAAATACGGGCCAATAGTCATTACCTATTAGATGTGATTCTCCATCCAAATTATAAGGGGTGAATTGTCGGCATGACAAATTTATTCTCATCAACAATGATCGATATGTTTAAGGGTTAAACTAATGAATTTTAAAAATATAAATAGTTAAATTTATTAAATTATTTAAAAATTAAATTTATAAAAAGGATTAAAGGAGTTAGTATACAAGTTAAAACACTGTCATATCATCAATATAGTTAACTAGTTATCTGTCAATGACTAAACTGATCAAAATTTATAATATTGGTGATTAAACTGTAAATATATTTAATTTAATGATTAAAAACTCTTTAGTGATTACCGATGTAGTTTGCCCAAAAGAAAAAGAACCCGCTTAGACAAGAAACGGATGTAGCGGGCCCAGGCCACGTGAGAATTACAAAGACATACGACGCACGAAAAGTATAGTAATGTATGACAGCTAATGTAAGAACGTAGCCAAGCAAAGGCCACCATTCAGATAAGGTAGAATTTTGCTATTGATCCCTCTATTATATGTAAGTTATATATTTAATCTCTATACTCTGTTTTAATCTTTTCAAAAGTTGCAATTACAATGGTAATCAATATACACTCGTACAATTATAATTAGAGTCAATTAGTTCATATAGGGATCAAGAATCCACACACTAATTTAAGTTAGAGGGAACTTGAACCTAAGCACTCAAGGTTCCAGGACCTTAATCTTTGCCAACGCAACCGAGGTTTCATTGGTCTAATATGGTCATTTTTAATCCTTGTGTTTTTCAAATTTTTAAATTTCATTTTGTGACTCAAACAATGAATGTTACATTTTGAAACTAAAATTGATTAAATTGGGGAATATGTATGAAACCTGCCACTTAAGCATAGTAAAAGAACTAATAATAGAATCTAACCAAATTGATTAAACAAGAATTACTTGAATTAAGACTTAAATTTTAAAATTTAAAAGATAAAGGACTTAAAAATGACCAATTTAAAATACACAATCTAAATCTATAATTTAAACATGATATAAGGGCTAATAACAACAACTTGACCATCAAATAATAATAGGTTTAAAAGTCGATAACATTGAATCCAAGGCTACGGATTCCGAATCAAATTACTAAAATATCTCTAGCCCCATCGTAGATTCATGAATTTTTTTATTTTGTATTTTTTAAGGTACAGATACATGAAATTATGACAAAACAATGACCACATTTTTTGGGGTTATGTTGGTTGTATAAAAGTAGTATGCAACTTTCAACACCCTTTTCTTAACGTAATACGAAACTGAAAAACCTCAAGAAAATCAAAAGATCTGTGCTGTGTTTTTGAGGGATAATGGAGGAAGAGGCAGAGATGGAGCGGTTGCCGATAGACTTGTTGGCTCATATACTGGCGATGATCACTTCATTCACCGATTTAGCCCAGTAGGTTCTTTCTTCTTCTTTGTTCATTTATGTTTCTATTTTGAGATTCATTTGAATGGTGATTGTTATGGAGAGATTATTATGCGTGGTAGGGCAAGTTGGGTTTGCAGGAAATGGAAACAAGCGGTGACACAGGCTCTGGCTAGAAGACAGACCCTGAGTTTTGCTGGTTGTAAAATGGACGATGATTCCACTGCTCGTCTCGTTCGTCATGCTTATAGCCTCAAAGAACTCGACATGTAAATCACTTATGGGGTTCTTCGTTTGATGATTTCTTAATTTGTTCTTTTTCTCTGAATGCACACACACACACACACACATATATATACATATGATGAATCACATCATATTTGATGCATGCCTGATATGACAAGTACTCTAACTGAATTCGATTAACATAGTTTTATACATGGTAATCACTTTCTTCTACTAATTCTTGTAACAACTACAGTTCAAGGAGTCGTTGGGGTTGTCAAATAACTGATAATGGACTGTACCAGATCTCATTAGCAAACTGTGTTAGCAACCTGACATCAATTTCACTTTGGGGTATGACTGGGATCACTGACAAAGGTGTTGTTCAATTGGTATGTAAAAGCCTTTTTATTCATTAGTCAATCCCCTTGGCTTGCATTTGATGAACTTGATTTTCTCAACAGATAACCAGAGCCAATTCCTTGAAACACCTCAATGTTGGTGGTACATTTATCACCGATGAATCCTTATCCGCCATTGCCGATAACTGTCCACATTTAAAGGTGAGGCCCATTTTTTTATTTTTCAGGAAGTTTGTTTGTTCTTTAGAGATGATTGACATTCTGAGTTTTGGTTCATTATCATCTAATCCCAGAGCATTGTCCTATGGAGTTGCCGTCATTTTACAGAAAGAGGACTGTTTGTTCTTGTAAGTAAATGCCGAAAACTAGAGTCGATCAATGTGTGGGGAACTAGAGTTCCCTTGGATTGTTTCATTGGTTTGCTTACTATTCGACCAGCTCTTCAAATCAAACCACGAGGTTTGCCATTAAACGTTGGGGCTATGGCAATGTTACCTGTAATATAAGTTGTTCATTCTTCTGGGTATTTCAATTGTAATTTTATGAATTTGTTGATTCAATAAATTGAAGCTTTACCTCCAAGAAAGTGTTTGTCAACAGATTGGCTCGTTCAGTCGCCTTTAAAAAAGGATATTCAACAAATTCGAAGCTCGATTATCATAGGAAAACGTAGCCTATTAGAATCTGCAAGCTAAAACTGCTGTATAAATGCTATTGGTAAAAACTTTATTGTTAAATACAATACCGCTAATAGTTAATGCATACAAATTTATGAGACTAATAGTAACTTAACCATGCAGCTAACCTGGTAAATCATACAATACTAAAGTAGACTGCATACCTGAACTACTAGGTATACTTTACTTCATCAGAGGAATCTCAAGAAATATTTTGATTGTAATCCAATTCTATGACTCCAGAGTTTATGTACCGACGCATATTATAAGCCCTCCAAGAAGTGTAGATGATATCCTGAGAAACTACCTGTTCTAGAGAATTAATGAGTTGATCCAAGGAAATGAAAACAAGGCAAAAATCAAGTGGTTAGGATGATAGATTGTTGAAGTGGATCCCGAGAACTGCACGGGTCCAGAAAAGCTTCCGATGGTATTCGTCACCGGACTAGGAGTATGTATTGAAATGTTCTTGCAAGATCCAAAGGGTGCCCCAGGCTGCATAAGAACAAAACAGAGACATTGTTTCAGTTTCTCACTCTGATAAGTAATATCTGATAGCCATTGGTGAAAATTTGGATTAGAAAAACAGAAGTTCAAATTTGTAAATTCTCATGGCCGTATAATGCCTGTTAAAGTTCATACTGAACATAGCAGTATATTGAAGAAAGAGTAAACTGAACTTGTATTCATCAAGAAACTATAACAGCCCTTTTATACAACAGCCTGTATACCAACAGCTTGTATACCAGACTCAACTGACTCATAACTGACTCCTATCAGCCTTAACTAATCTTGACTAACAACAACTAACTCACAAAGCTCACACACATATTGGCTGCAACAACCAACCACGTACACAGCTATACTCCAACAATGCCAGCTATATAAAATGTTAGTATCAATGTGGAACAAAGGCTTGTTGCCAAATGAGCCTTCAAATGACTTCGATGAAAATCAGAACTCGAACAGTGAAAGCATATCAACAAACCTGGCAGGCTGCAATAGTATTACATCCACATAGTCTCTGGCCATTGATGCCATCCAGATCATGAAAAACACCACCTCCATCACTTCTCTGCATGATTTATCCCGTGTTCTGTGGTTAGTGCTTTGCATATTTTAGAAAAAAATTATAGATATCAGTTACAACTGAATACCAGGTAAAAATTGACTGCCAAGAAGTTCGGCATCATATTCCCGGCTGCTTTGTAGCAGATGAGGATCATGTCAGCAAGTGGTGTTGAATGCTCTTTGCAAGCTTGATCTTCATCTGGGAAAGTCGGAAAGTAATTCATAAGGAAAAGAGAGGCACTTTTCGAATTAAGCAGTTGTGATTCTTTTCTGTTCGGGCATTTGCCTGGCTTTACCCCTGGATCTCCAGCTGAAACCCGAAACACCATGAAGGCGTTACTACATAGCTAGTATACGATATGAACACATAAACAAAGTGATTGTATGTACATAGTCATTACCTTCATTTTCCAATAAGTACCTCCACTGATAAGCGATTCCTTCCTCAGCTTCCTTCGAAGCAACTGAAGTAAAGACCAAAAGCCGGTGATTTTCTCGCACCATTTCATTTAGGGTAGGCCAATCCTCACCCTTTTTCGGCATCTTGGACACTGGAAACCAATACTTGTTCAAACCAGCATTAGCAAAAAGCTTAGTCAGCCCTTTCGGTGTATGCACGTAGTCCTCGATTATAATGGTTACAATCTCTGTTGGATTTCGACTTAGGAATGCTTCCACTTCCTTCAAGGTGTTAATTGCAGGTTGCTGGAAACCATCAAATGAGCATATTGCAAATTATTCCATAAAAACTTAAAATAGATATTACCAAAGAAAAGATGATTGTTGAATTCTTAAGATAGAAAAGAATATATTACAAAGGCAGTGAAGTTGAAACATTGCCCTTGGAATGAATGGCAGAGCCAAATATCGCCATTGAAATCGTACATATCCAACATCAGCCCCCTAACTCCATTCTAAACGATGAACAAAAAGCAAAGCAAATTAGTTGAAAAATGAAGAATTTTATTTGCTTTTATTAGTTTCTCTATTATATACGATTCCTTCTCTTATAGTTTCCCTAAGATTCTAATAGAATAAGAAGGTGATTTAAAGGCAATAGAATTACAGACCATCAACTGATTAGTAACAGTGTCTTCTTGATTGTAAAATGTCAATCTTTGAACACCTGGTGAAGCTGGAGCATTCACTATGCTGAAGGAATTGTGAGTTACCAACCATGAATACTTGTTGAAAGGTAATCCACCAATCTACCATCCCAAAATTCACACCAAAAACATTAATCTCCATCACCAAATAACACACACAAAAGAAAGAAAAGAGCTCTCTTACCAAAAAGGAAACAAATTTACACCAAGTTTGCTGAAAATGAAAAAAAAACCATCATTAAGATGCAAAGAAGAAGAAGAAGCTTACAACTGAAGAGGGAATGGTGGCTTTGCCTCTGATACAAAAAGGTTGAGTCTTGCCTAAAGCAGGGCAGTTCCCACAATAAAGACCTGGACCACAATCTGTAGCCTTGGAACAGGAATCCAGAAGCTGCAAAATTGCTGAACAGTTTAAGTTCAAGCTGTAGAGATCATAAAACAAAGGGAAAGGGAATGTGAAAGAAAAAGAAGAAGAAAGGAACCTGGCAACTTCCATTAGAACAAGAAGAGGAAATGTTGAAGAAGGAAGAGGCGAGTAACAGAAGAAACAAGTACCCAACTGCAGTGGCTCTGGATAAGTCACGGCGGTCCGTAAAACAAGTCATCCTATTTATTTGTACTTTTAGCGATCATGGTTTATTATAACTAAACCGACTGACAAAGAACAATAACCGACATAACTGAACTGACTTAAAAGAAGAAGAAGAAAGCTTACAACTGAAGTGGGAATGCTGGCTTTGCCTCTGATACAAAAAGGTTGAGTCTTGCCCAAAGCAGGGCAGTTCCCACAATCTGTAGCCTTGGAACATAAACCCAGAAGTTGCAAAATTGTCGAACACTTTAAGTTCAAGCTGTAGAGATCATAAAACAAAGGGAGAGGGGATGTGAAAGGAAAAAGAAGTAGGAAGGAACCTGGCAACTTCCATTAGAACAAGAGGAGGAAATGTTGATGAAGGAAGAGGTAACAGAAGAAACAACTGGAGTGCCTCTGGATAAGTCACCGTGAACCGTGAAACAATTCATCCTATTTATTTGTATTTTTTGTGACCATGATTTATTATTACTGAACAGACCAACCAAAATTTCTAATCTTATTCTTACTAAAATCTATAAGAATGTTGGATTCAAATTTATAATTTAAAAACAATTACTTTAATGAATTAGTAAAAGTTCAAACATAAGATTTTTAATGTTTTGAGGGAAGTTGAAAGTTGCAGCCTAAAAATGGCAGAGTTAGTTGAAGATGTAGATGGATGTGTATGGACTTTGCTAGCATTAGGCAGTTGAAAACATGGTTGATGCTACAAATAGTGGTGCTTAACTTTTTTTAAGTGGAAACAATATGTGGCAATTGTGTATTTCTTCAGGTAACCAAAGTCACCTTCTTTAAATGCCAACTCAAAAGGTAGCTTTGGTTTAGTTGGTAGGAAATGGTTACTCATTTATTGTGGTTTTTACAAGCTCAATCACTCCATAATAAAATACATGTGCATCTTCCAGAAAACGTGCACTTTGGGCGTTGCCTGGTTTAGGTGTTTGTTTACCTAGAAAATTTTCAGATTGCACAATAATAAAAAAAGGAGATTATGCAATACTCGGGAATAAATATTGAATTTAAAACATTTGCCTCTTTTTTTTTCTGTGTCATCTGTGTAAGATTGACAATTTTCTTTTTGGATTTTAGGATGAAAATTATTATTGATGACTTGTGTTTGATCCATGCATGTGATTAATTCATACATGAAACAATTATATAAAATTAGTTTTATTAGTTCATGAAAGAGCAAATTGGTATATTTTGAGGGCCTAAATATTTTATATATATAAATTGGGTGCAAAGAGAAAAACGGATGTGCTTGAAAGGCTAATTTGTGAATTAAACCTTTCTTATTTTCACCCACAAGGTATCACGAAACAAATGGTACGAGTTTTCGATCATTATTTTTTAGATAAAGTACATAAATGGTCCGTTGATTATAGAATATCATTTTATTAAGTCTATTGATTATTAAAAGTTATAAAATAGTCTTCCAATTATAGGGAGTTACTTTATTGAGTCCTTCGACTATTAAAAGTTATAAAACGATCTCATGACTATTCATTATGTTTCAAACTTGTCATTTTTAGTTAAAAATGAATGATAGTCTGAGTTGGATGTTAATATGTTGACTAAGATATGATAATAGTTTAAGATTAAGTGATCAAATTTTATCATATCTCAAGCAGCAGGTTAACGTAAAAATCAAGCTATCGTTAATTTTTAATGGAAGAAGATGAGTTTTAAACATAATAAATAGTCAAGTGATCATTTTATAACTTTTAATAGTTTGAAGACTTAATAAAACAATATCATATAGTTAAAGAATCATTTGTGTACTTGATTCTATTTTTTAGCACTAAAATCTCTAATTAGCCCAAGCTTTTTAAGCCCAATCAGAAGCTCAAAACGAGTCATTGAAAATCCAATAGGATTTGAAATTCAATGAGCCCAATAAGCTTCATCGCGGCTTAACTCGACAATAATCCGAACCTCCTGTGTCGCCGCAATTTCAATCTAATTTCGAGATTTGTCAGGACGACACAAATCCTAGTAATTTATCGAAGAAGAACAATCCGGTGAACCAATGGTAAAAACTAGACAACAAAAAGCCAAACCCAAATCCAAAAACCAAGTAAGTTTTACTTCTTCTTCTGTTTATTTATATGATATTTGATCTCCTTTTCTCTTTTTTTTCCTTTTCTAAATTCAGTTTATAATATAGCTTTGTATCTATGAAGTTCAACTTTGTCATTGAAATCAAGATTTTGATTGATCAATTGGGAATATGATGAGTAATGCACTTGATTTTTGCTTCCGGATATCAATGTGTAATACAAGGGGACTCATTAAACAATAAAATCAACATTTTTATAGCACTTTCGCTTTAAGTAGCTTTGGGTTTTGCAATTTGTGAATGCTACTGGTATAGAAAGCAAGCAAATCACTGAATGATAGTTCAGTTTAATACTTCTCATGGTTGATTGTTTCTTCATCCTGCTAAATTAGCCAACAAATTTTGTTTGCTGGATAGGTAAAAAAGCAGGGAAAGCAAGCAGATATCTCACAGTTTCTTGCCCAGCTCGATGCATTGGACCTAAAAATCATCAAAGTGACTGCAGATGGTAATTGTTTTTTCAGGTTTGTATCTTTTAATTCGATTTTTTTTGCCCACTATTCTTTTGTGAATACTTTCATTAAATATTGTGTTGCATTCATGCCATTTACGTTCTTTATATCTGATTTTGGTACTTCATTGTCATTATAGAGGTATGCATCTTTGTTGGTTTTGTTGAAGTTGCTGACTCGGTTTAGCTATCAGGGCCCTTGCTGATCAGTTGGAAGGTGACGAAGAGCAACATGGAAAATACCGCTGCATGGTGGTGCAATATATAGTGGTAAACAATGATGATCAAAGCTTGGTTATTGTTTTCATTATAGCTTTGTAAGAATGTCTGAGTCTCTTTTCAGATGTTTGCATTGGACGTTAGAAATATGTTAACCATCTGTAAGTACTGTTATTTAATTTAGTTTAGTTTAGTTTAATTTTATTAGTTCCTGTACCTAGGAGTATTCCATATGTGTTATTATCAATGATTATAACTGATTGGTACAAGTGCAATAGCATCTTGAAATTGAAAGATAAGGATATGAACTTATAATCTCAGTTATTATTAACTGCACCTAATTCATGTGCAGAAACAAGAAAAAAAATCAGGTTAGTTTGATTCTTTGCCCCTCAAAAGGCTTGATACAAACTAGTTTCACAATTTCAATTTTATTGTTGAATAGTATATTTTTCTAGCAATTGACTCTAGTGATCACATGCAAATCCCTCATGTGTGAAACAATTGAAATGTGGAAATAAATGATGAGGAGTACCCATTTGGTGTGAAATGCATTATTTTAACTGATTTTTTCTTTTAAAAGATATATTTTTTTTTATAGGAATAAAAGGCCTCAATAAACCCCCTTGGTGGTTAACGGAACTTAAAAATAGTTCCTTAATCCACACAAGGAGGAAAGGAGTGCCCTAGGATTCAATAAACTCAAATATAACAAAGTAATACAAACCATCTCCCTCAAGAGATATAAAACCAAAAAGAAACAGCCCTTAACAGAGCATAATTCAACCAATACCCTTTTAAAAGATATATATATTACAGTAAATCAGAAGTTTTCTGGTTCTCTTTACGTAGATGATATTTCAAAAAATTTGTTGCTCGCTTGGATGGTTTATGATATGTTCCTCGTTTCTCTCATTCCCCTCCATTCCTCTCCTGTCTTTTCTTCTTATTGAAGATTCTAACTTGTAGGTAATCCTCACTTTTATCTGATATTAACAGAAGAAGCGTGAAATGTTTGAACCCTTTATCGAGGATGATGTTCCATTTGATGAATACTGTCAGTCCATGGAAAAAGATGGCACATGGGCTGGACATATGGAACTGCAGGCAGCTTCTCTTGTTACTCGCAGAAATATATGCATACACCGGGTAAGATCCTATCTTCTCCTCTCTCTATGGTTAGCTCTGGAGGACATCATCGAAGTCATCCCGCACGCTTTGCATGGTATACAGAACATGTCACCACGCTGGTACATAAAGAATTTTGATGACAGAGCAACTCGCATGGTACATTTGTGAGTGTTATAGTGCTCCTTAATTGGAAGCACTACTCATTTTGTTTTCACATTCTTTGGTTGTAGTCTATAGTATCTAATTCTGCTGTACAAAATACAAATGTTTTTCAGATCATATCATGACGAGGAACACTACAATAGTGTAAGATCAAAAGAAGACCCCTGTAATGGGCCAGCAATTCCAATAGTAATTAAGGTTTGATTTTCTTTTATAATTTTGCACTGTGACGGTTCTTGTATTTATTCTGATTTTAAGTTTGAACATATTTATTGGTAACTACAATCTACTAACTACTAGTTTGTCAAAAGGCGGATGCTGGTATCTCAGCATCATCTAATCAAGCAAAAGCTGCAGTTAGTAAGCCAAAGGGGGCAACTGGTAAGGACTGTATCAATGCGGGATCAATCAAATTAGTAATGGCCGGAAGTGGTTGTGAAAGTGTTGAAAAAGTTGAACAGGTGATGAATTAGCATATATATATTTATGTGGTCTCTTGTTCCTGTATAGCTGTCATTTCTAAGCTATGGCCTCAATTACCTTTTTTTGCACGCTCATGAATCATGACATGCTTGAATTTTCTCTATTACACATACTTTTCTCCCTTTTACTCTTCTTCAGGTTTTACTACAAGTGGATGGTGATGTTGATGCTGCTATCGAGTATTTGATAGCAGAACAAGGGGCTGAAGAAGGTGCAGCCCCAGATGATTCACATTCTTGTCATGCAAATGGTTCTTATGGTAATGGCCGGTCAGTACATAGGCTAATTCTAGATATTTTGTCAGGGTTCTCCCTCCATTACTTTTTCATTTTGTTCCTTATGTAAAAATGTTCACTTTGTTTTTATAACATCTTATGTAGGCATTTTAGTTAGTAAGACAGTTGTTGATGAGATTGGAAAGATCATTACAAGATGAAATATGAAAATCCTATTAGTAGTATGGGTCCTAATTTGTGAAAATGCAGGGCCACAATTTTCTCCCTTGTGCCCATTCAAGACCATCCTAGCTTTATTGGATTTATGAATCTGTCTCATGTGAAGATTTTCGGAGTTGATTAGGAAATATATGTTTTTACTTCAAATGGAACTGCACTCACTAACTGGTAGAATTCATGTTGAAGTCCTGCTTTGCCTTTAGTTTCTTAGTGATTAAAAACATTAGACAAATCTTTTTTATTACCTCTGTTAAATCTGATTTCTCGACATTTGGGGAGATTTCACTTTGCTTTTGCTTTCTGTGGTGTTTAAAGAGATTATGATTTGGCATATGTGATGTACTTATATATTCTTTTCATATGGTATCCAGGTAATGATGAAAATGGAAACAATGAACAACACAAGGAAGAAACTGTAGAGAAGACCACAGAACAAGATCCATCTAGTGATGGCACTAAAACCCTTGATGGTAGCACTTCTCAGTTGGATGAAAAGGTTCAATGCTGTGATGAGAATAATAAATCTTAAAAAATTTATATGGTTTAAAAGTAAGATTGTCACTCTTTAACTTTCTGAGCTGCAGAAGATTCCAAGAAACAAGTTATGCCCTTGTGGATCAAAGAAAAAATACAAGGCTTGTTGTGGATCTGTCTCAGGAAAGTCCTCGAATAAGCTAATAGTGTATACCACCTAAACTCTAGTTTGCTTTTGGGTCTATTTATGCTAAAGATAAATGCAATATGTATTAGCTCTATTGCTCAAGTTCAACTAAACATTGGCACGTAATGGACATTCTCTTATAGCACATGATATTGGAGCTTGAGTGGTTCTCTCTCTCTGCACTTAGTTTTAGATGATTTTCTAGCATATCAAGCTTCTTGGTGTTTGACTTGTTGCAAAAAGAGTTTATTTTTCCGAACCTTTTTCTGTATAGTAACCAAACAATGGAGGTCAGAAAGGGTAAAAAGGAGCGGAAACAAGGCAAGAAAGGAATATCTGCCAAATCTGCAGCATCTCCTGGATCTGATGGAGGGCCACCTGACATGGGAGCACTTTGCATATGATCTTAGTATCATGTGAGTGCTTTTGCCACAATTATCATCCTAAGTGACTTTGATGCATGGTTGCATATATTTCTTCATTCTAACCTTTTCAATGAGAATTTATTCTCATTTTACTTGAGGAAGAAACAGCACATTTGGCAGAAAAATTTTAGCCATTTTATACAAGTACATCCTGCTGATTTTTTATTTTCTTTGCTTTGTAGATCTAATACATGCCATTGGTAGGATCTTATCCTTTCAAGCTCTTCCAATTTGGTTCCAACTGTCCGACGTCGACGTATTCTGGCAGTCTCTGGAAAATGAATATGAATGCTCCATGCCCTCTTTCCGATGCTCGTTGTTTATTCCCGGGATTCCTTATCCATCCAATTGTTACGCAGGCAGGATTGACAGTTTCTGCTTATCCACGCCCAACTTTATTTTTGAGATTCCTTGTAAATAGGTCTTAAGTATCTTTGGCAAAACATGAAATTATACAAACATAGAATGACAACGAAAAGAGAAGTAATAGAAATGGTATAGATTCTTGTTTTAAAGATGCTACTTTACATTGTTTAACATTCGATCTAACTTTTAAGTATACGAGGCAGAATGATAACATTTGCTTCTAAAATATAATATATTTTAGGGTTCAGAACTGTGTTGTGTATGAATATGGAAGATGGGTGTTATTCCCTTGTACAAGTGGCAACTTGTTTTTATCATTTGGGCCATTCATGGCTTCAATGAAACTGGTTCTTGGGGCTTGCTTCAAGCACAAAGCTACTCTAAAGTCAAAATGCTCAATCCTACAATCAGAAAGTTGGTAAGGACAAACTTTGGTTTGATCATAAAGATTCTTCCTTTAAGGGAAGGCCTCATTCCAAATTTTCATAATAAACAAATGATGCTTTTTGGTAATTATAGCAAAATAACCATTACAATTAGATTTAATGATATATAGTTTTTAGTTTTTTTTATCGATTTTGGATATATGGTTGTGCAAATAAAGCAAGTTTTTCTTTATTTTTTATTTTTATATTAATTTAATATATATTTTAAAGATCCACAGTCATTTGATAATAAAAACTTAAACACCTTTGTAATATCTTATATTTAAACATGAAATTTGCAAAAATAATAATCATTTCTTTAACTTTAAGGTAATTGGATTTGTGCATATTTAAAATCCCTTCTTATATTAATTATAACATAAATAATCAACTGGCCAAAAAAGATAGATTTAATGAACCAAAAATTGTTTGGTTGCGAAAGGACATGCACACAAGTGCAATAACATTAAGGGTAAAGTAAATAAATCTGCGTTACTTTGTTAAGTCTTCTAACTATTAAAAATTATAAAATTGTTCTTTGATTATATGGAATTGTTTTGTTGACTCTCTCAACTATTAAAAGTTATAAAATTATCATCTGACTATTCATTATGTCTCAAACTCGTCCTTTTTCGTTAAAAAATTAACAGTCGCTTGAGCTTAACGTTAATATATTGATTAAGATATGATAGTCATTTGAGATTATATTAGTCAGCAAGTTAACGTCCATCTCAAATTTAACAGAAAAAATTGAGTTTAGAACGTAATAAATAATTAGATGATCATTTTGTAACGTTTAATAATTTAAGAACTCAATAAAACAGTATCTATAATGAAGAGACTATTTTTGTTCTTCACCCTAATATTAAACCTAGACCAGGCTAAAGAGACAGTAACCAGTATTTTCTCTCTCACATCATCACTGTTTCTTTGTATTATTGGTTGGAGAAAAGATCATTAATTGTTTCAGCTGTTCAACTTGTTACACGTGGTAATAAAAAGCTTCTCGTCCATAATTTTTTATAATCTCAACTATTATTTGATATATTAGTAAAAGAATTTTTTATATTTAGATTTTTTTTATTGTTTAATGTTTATATGAGATTTATAATTATTTCATTCACAACGTTGTTTTTAAAATTTTAAAATTATTTATTTTACTGAAACATAATATATTTTATTATCATATCTAATATATCTACGTTACTTTGTTTTATAATTACAAAAATAGATTTCATGTGCATCCATTATGTTGAAATTATAAAAAAAAGGGTTTGATATCACCAAATATTTTGAGAACGAGAGGGATTAAATCCACAATTTTATTTTAAGTTACAAGAACCGAGTAAAATTTAACTCTATTTCTCACGGCTTAACCTTTTTGTATTATTACAAACCACTCGATCTCAATGATAAATGAATTGTTATTATTCTTTGAGGTTACAGTCTCGGTGATCAAGTATCTGAAATATAAGAAATTTCAAATCTTTAATTACTAAAATATCAGCTGGTATCCGATTCATCAACTTCGAGTACCTATAAATAGAATAGCCATAAAACATGAGTGCACATATTTTCAGGTTACGGGTATCATAAATATCGAACAATATCAACCGAATCGATGGATCAACAGATTAAATAATTCAAATTGAGTTTTTTTTCAATATTCTAATATATATATATTTATTGCAGCAGGCACCTCGCAGTTCATCACATGCAAATATATGATTGGGATTTGACATGAAACCTAAAACTGATGCTTATAATAACTCTTCTTCAGCAATCCTTTGTATGTGAATTTTCCCAACAGGATTTGTTTCACTATATATGTATACTACACTTTACCTACGATTAATATTAATATCACTTTGAAGTTAAAACAATTGTTTTCGCCTTTCAAATTTTTTGTTGTTGACAATTCCTATTTAAAGACAAGGAAAAATGAATTGTGTTCGATATTAAACTTATAACCTAAAAGAAAGAGAAATTGTTACTTGAGAGGTTTTAAATCATTTGATCATATTTTATTTTTTTTAAATAATGTATAAGGTATAAACCCCATGATCATAAAGTGTCTTAAATTAATTTATTTCAGTTTGACAGAATATTATCTACTTGATTTGAGGGTTTGCATATTCTTCTATCGAAATTTGATGAATCGATATAAATAACATTTTTGATGTTTTCTTTATCAAATAAATCATTCATTAAACATGAAAATAATAATAATAATAATACAGTATGGATGACTCGATCAAAATTTTTGATTTAGAAGGTGGGCAACAAGAACAAGAAAAGAGAAAACCAACAAAATAAAAAAAAAATCTTCCAACAATCCCCCGTACCACGCCAATAATATAAAGGGTAAACTACACGGGAGACCACTAAACTATGGTCAAAAATCAATGTGACCACCAAACTTTCAATTGAATCAGTCAGAACATCAAACTATTTAATTGATTCAATCAAACCATCAGCCGTTGATTTTTAACAGAGGTGGTGACGTGTCCGTTAAGCTTAATTGGCATAATTATATATTTGGTACTTAATATTTACATATTCTATCAATTTAGTCACTATTTTAATTCAATTAAATAAATTTAACTATCCAATTAGAATGTGACACGTGTCTATTTTTGATTGAAGTGTTTTATTTATGAATTTTAAATTATTTAATTAAATAATTTTTATATCCAATCAGACATATGTCACCACCCAATGAAAGTGAAAATTAAAGGGACAAGTTGCACTCCAAGGAATTTGAACTAGGGTCACGGGGGTGATAGAGCACCAAACCATTGGGACAAAATAAATTTATATGAAAATTATTAACCGAATCGAATTAACAAATAAATTTGAAAAAAAATTGATTAACGGTTAAAGAAAAAAAATTGGTTAATTCGGTTCGGTTAATCGAACTAAAATTTATTTGAAAATTATTAACTGAACCCAATTAATTTGAAAATTATTAACCGAACCGAATTAACAATTTTTTTTGAAAATTATTAACTGAATTAATCGAAGCAAAAATTCGGTTAATCAAACCAAAATTTATTTGAAAATTATTAACCATACCAAATTAATTTAAAAATTATTAACAGAACCGAATTAACCGATTTTTTTTAAATACACCTTGAATTATTTCTGAACGTTGGGGATCATTAATGAAGTTATTGGAGCAGTTTAAGTGTGAAAACAATTAATATTTCTCCTTAGAGCGTGAGGGGAATCGGTACCCCCTCATAGGGAATCGGTTCCCTAAGTGTAAAATTCAAATATTCGACCGTTGAACAGTGGGGGGATCGATACCCCTGGGGGAATCGGTTCCCTCCGAGCATACTGGAATTTCTCAGAGTCAAACCATTCAGGGGGGAATCGGTACCCCCTTGGGGGGAATCGGTTCCCTCTGGACAAACTGTAATTTTTGGCTTTGAAACGGTTCGAAATACTTTGTGAAATTGTTTTGAAATTATTTTAAGATTAAAACTTAATTTTACACTTTAGTAAGGATTTAAAATGAACTTTGAAATACTTTGAGTAATATTTTGATATTTGAGTTAATACATCGAATATGCTTAGAAAAATCATTTTCAAAATTAAAATTCTTTTAATTTAATTTTTTATATTGAAACATCAAAATGTTTTCAACAATCTCCCCCTTTTTGATATAACAAAACATTTTAAGATTTTCTAATTTCAAAATGAATTTTGATTTTGAAAAATACTACTCCCCTTACTTTAACACTTTCTCCCCCCTTTTTGTTAAATCAAAAAGACCCTATAAAACGTTTTAAATAAGAATTTTGAAAAACGTAAGCCAATTGATTTATTAATATAAAGTTTAAGCTGCTAAGATCACAATCAAAAGAGATGTTAGCCATTAGTTTCATAATCAATATTCATAAACATGTAATGGATAATTGGTCATATATATCTAAAGATGCAAAATAAACACGTAATCCAAATCAAATGTATTAAACATAAGTTCAAACAACCAAAAATAAACAATCCAAAAGCATTCAAAATGTTTTAATAATGCAAATATCCAAGTTCAATCCAAACAAGCAAAGCAAAGATCAAAGTTTAAGCATCCGTAGGAGGATCGGGATGAGGGAAATGAGCTCGCATAGCTGTCATTTCATGAGTGAGTGCATTAATACGAGCGTTGGTTACTTCATTGTTTGCACGCATCTCCCATAGAATTTCCAATTGTTGAGCTTCCATAGTCGAGAAGTGAGATTCTATGGAAGTGAAGCGAGAATCCAAGGATGCATAACGGAAATCAAATGTCTCCATAAATGATTGAAAATATGGAGGCACTTGATCTTCTTGCTGAGCTTGTTCCTCGTGCTGCTCCGGCTCATCGTCGGCTTCGTCAATATCTTGCATTAATTGTTCAAGCTTGGGATCGTCGTCAGCTTCTGGTGGAGCTTGTGAAGAACTAGCTCCCGGAGTATTCTCAGAAGATCGAACCCATTCATCGGTTTCTTTATTCTTTATTCATCCCGTTCTCGTTAACGAAAGAAGATTAATTTGTTTCTTGAGAGGAAAGACGACATCTAGACCAACTCTAAGCCCGACTTTAGAAAATAGATTACTCAGAATGCAACCGTAAACTAGACATGAACAGAGTTTCTTATTAGGAACAAGATTTTAGGTTTCAACAATTTCAGCAAAAATAATCTGAGGTAGGTTTATTTTAATATTATTTTGGAAACAATGGAACCACCAAAGATCCAAGGCTCTAAGAGTTGAGTAACGACCTCCG